ACACACACACACACACACACACACACACACACACACACACACACACACACACACACACGCACCAGCTCGGGCTGATTCCTATCCTGCAGACAGGCCTGCCAACAGCCAGCCCTTTTTTGCACACGCTCAGATTCACTGTCCTGACTAATCGCTTGTGATAGGGGCCTTTGCCATAATTACCCAGGGCTTTATCACAAACTTATGCGATGCATTTTTCATGTCCTAGCTGCTGGCAGTGCCTCTGCTGGCTGTCAATCTGGAGAAGAAAAATAATAATAATAATAATAATAATAATAATAATAGCAGATCTCACACCAGTTCAAACAGGGCGAAAAAGGTGAAAGCAGGGTGAGAGGCCAGAAAGGATAAGTTGTTGTTTTTGTTATTTTTTTTTTAAGGAAGAGGGGGTGATAGATAGTAAAGACGGAGAAAGCGTCATAATTTCTCTTTTCAATTGTTCCCCCACCCCCCAAGTCTGTGTGTGAGCACTCACTGGATTCACATCTCCAACAGATTAACTTCAGGAGCCAACCTGGTTCAAAATGGCTGCCACATCAAACTGACCATAAAAACACATTTAAAAGGCAATAATTCTGCCAATTTTACATATATGGAGCTAGAATTTGGTAAGGTAGCAGCTGAGAGTGATTCACAACACATTCTCAAAGTGCTACTCATTGGGTGATATTATTGTTGCAAAATTTTAAACATTAACCCCTGGGGTCAACTCTGTTAGCAAAATAAGTCGTGAAACACTGAATGGATTTTAAGGAGGTTTTCAGAGTGTGTTCAGTGGATGTGTATTTACAACTGATTAAATTTTGAAATCAATCCAATTCAAGATGGCTGCCACAGCTAGTTAGCAWTAATAAAAACAAAAACGGCTATAAATGAGTCATTTTTGCAGGTAATGTGTTAAAATTTGGCATGGTAGTAGCTGAGAGTCATCAAAAACACATATTCTGAGCAAGACATCTGGCAATATCTGATCGCTTCATTCGTCAAAGTTTAACCACAAATGAAGCGACTCGCCATTTCTTGTCGAAGTAGGAGTTTAAAACCATTACATTAAAAGTGGAGGGCGACATGCATCCCTTAAAGGAATGCTGGGTCTTTAATTTAACATGATGTACAACCAATGGAGCCACGATCAGGAGGACCAAACAAGGATGAAATGAACAGGAGAAGTGAAGCCTTGATGATGTGGCGTCAGAGCAACACAAAGCCCCGCTGGGAAGACTTGTTCACTGTCCTTTTGTCTAACCCAGTCATAGGGGCATCATGACCCAAATAAAAGTTTAAAAGCTCGTGCAGCTCACAAAATAATGCATGAATCGGGCTGCAGCCTACATAATGCAGTCTTGTGTTAATGACGGCAGCAGCTAATATTCATAAATAGCGATTTGAAATTCAGCAAAGCGCGTTAAATGCCACGGGGGGTGAAAAAAGAAAAAAACAAAACAACAGTGCCCATTGTCTACACGTCTTGTGATGGGTCAAAACAAGCTCTAATATGTTCACATTAAAAATGAGGGCCTAATATTTGTCCAATATTTGCTTCCTCCGTGCGCGACGCGAGGACGTTTCGGGGAGTTCATCACAAACGCAAGGTCACGATCCGTCACATGTCTCCTTTTTGATAATTGCGTCCCGTCAAACGAGCAACTCTGTCTGTCCCGGTCCGGTCCACTTCTAACACAGACGTGGCAATGAAACGTCTACTAAAAAAAAAAGCCCTCACACTGACTGACTGGAAGCCGTCAACCCAAAACATAAACCACCGAGTGTTAATCCAGTATAATTTCCGAGTTATGTTCCCAAACCGTTAGCCCATAACTAAACTTAACAATCGTGTGTTAAAAGCAGATAAAAAGCTAATTGTGTGTACGTGTTGGCCGTCTCAAGCCGCTGGTGTCACCACAGCGCCACCGTACAACAGTCGCACTATTTTCTCTCCCCCCTCTCTCTAAATTATCCAACCTTACAAGCGGCGGCTAAAGCGTCGGGGCTAACTACGGCTACCAGCTCCGGTAAAAGTTGAACAACACGCACTAATAAAGAGAACCAACCGAAAGCTTTCCGCCAGAGCCCCCGCCGCTCGTAGCTTTTTGTTTCGGCGCATCCCCGCGGCGTCGCCCCGGCTTGTTGCAGTGTGTCCGATCGATGTTGAATTGAACAAAGAGGATCAATTTCTGATCAGCGAGAGAGAGAGCCACTTTCATCAATGTGAGGAAGAGGTCTTGAATTCTCTTTCCGAAACAGCTACGAGGCAGCCGCCGAAAAGACCCCCTCAAAAAAAATAAAACACGGCCCACGAGAGAGGGGCGAACGCGGCCGAAGCGAGCGGCAGACGAGGCGGCTGTAACAGAGAGTCAACTGACCTGTAGTTGCTGTAAGTCAAAGCGCTTCCAATATTGAAACATCGATCCTGCGTTGGCCGCCATCTTGAGACATATTGAGACAGGAATGAGATGCTGATAGAGAGCGCGCGGGGGTTGGAGTTCAGTGGAGAGGACCGGGTGTCCGGAACACCCGGACCGGATCACAACCAGCACSCTTCCGCGACACGGGCCGCTTCACGGAGCGGAGTCAGCTCGCGAGAGTGTTGCCTTAATAGCGCCATTATAATTGTTTAAATAGCATTTTGTCAACATTCAGATATTACAGGTAAACAACCAAACTAGCATTAAATCAAATTCAGTTTTAACAACTTATTTTATTTTACTAAAACGTCATAGGTTAATAAGGCTGCATGTACAAATAATGAAACAATGAGCTCAAACGTAAAGAATAATGCAATTTTTTTCCACAATATATTTTAATTTAATTTTTAAAAAGTCCATTTACATCTATACATTTAAATTCCGTTAGTTTTATAATTGATATTTGTGTAATTTTAAGCTGAAATCAGTTTAATTGTTCCTTTTTTGTTTTTAGCCCAAATAAATTTATTTGGAGTTATTTTCATGTTCATAAGGTTATTTTGAATTTTGACTTTGAATTGTTCATGTTGCTACTAATGTTGCCATTAAAGAATAGTTCACATCTTAGGGCTCTGCGGAAAAGTTGTTAATATCTTACCTGTTGTAGATGGCAATTTAATTTTGACAAAATTGGTGAGCTAACACCTAGTTTGAGTGTTGCCAAGACTAAAATGGATTGCTGCCACCTCAAATGAAGCCTTATTATTTATACAAACACACTTCCTGATGAATAAATAAATGACAGTTGTGTTATTTTCCCCCAATAATCATTTTTTACAATGGCCGACACTGTCAACATTAATTAGCATAGTTTACATTAAGCATGTTTAGCTTAATTCAATTCCGTTTTATAATTTATTAATTTATATTAAATTAACTCAGTGGTCCGGCCGAATGTTACTCCAGTTGTACATCCCTAGTTTTTATATGAAGTTTAGTACGTGATAGGCCTACTGTGTAAGTTTACATTTTTAAAGTTTTGTATTTGAGTTTAAACCAGGATGCACAGTGGTGTTACAGCTAGCTGCTGCTGCTAGTTGTGCTAAATACACACACACACACACACACACACACACACACACACACACACACACAC